GTTATCATTTTTATTCCCACGAGTAGCTAGGGACTAAACAGGTCGACCACAGCAGAGCCCTGCGTTCACTGTGGCAAGGGTAAATAAAACTGGAAGTCCCCTGGTTTCCAGAGTTGGCATACTAACGACTAAGCACCCCCTTAGCCACGCAGCCCTCAGCGTATGCAACCTTGGCTTGGGTTGTATCTCTTTTAGTCGGGTTCCTACCCCAGTCAAGATAAGACTAGGGATCGGAGCCCTTAAGCCCCACCACGTCGACAACGTAGAGATACATCGGTGGGGTTATTATTATTATTATTATCATTGGAGTCACAGAAGAACATCATTAATAAAAATAAAAAAAAGTATTCGAATCTCAACTGCCCTGGTATTAAATCTAATTGCAGAAGTTTTATCAAAGATCTCTTAAGTGTTGCACCGTATAGGATAACATCTAAAGTCAAGACAGAAAACACTTGCCATTCGCCCATTCTACATGGCAAACGAATTGCCAACCGTAACGGCCTGCAAGAAGACTGAACACCACCGGAAAGAAATGTTGCAGGTGCGAGTTGACGTTTGTTAGGCACAGAAAAACAGCGAAACGCAATAACTACATCTGTAAGATGTACAAGGGTCACATGTACCTATAGGTCATCAGGCAAAAAATTCTAAGTCTTATAGGTTTTAAATTACAATGACTTATGTGTTATCCACGAAAAAGTACACCGTGTGCTAGGGTTTGTTGCTACAATTGTTTATTTTTTCGTCTGTATTTTTGCGTATGTTATCCTGAATAGTGCTTCAGTATTAGAGAATCATAAATTCTGGGCCAAGTGCTTTAGTTTGGAAAATATTTTTTTTTTGATGAACCAAGTGTTCACAATTAACTTTTCAACTTACTTCAAGATACTGTACTTTAAAAAAAGTACTGCACTAGTAGTTAAAAATTTCACCAAAGTTGGCGCATTTGATTAGGATTCTAAAATGGTATATCACTCCCTAGAGTATTTCTTAAATTCCACACATTTTATTTATTTATTATAATCATTAATCATTTATCTTATCCACTAGGTAACACATTGCACGCGACATGACAGCATCATGTTAGACAATAGAGATCTCTTATTAAACCATCTCGTCTGTCTACTCATGATTCACTCGCAGCATTCGTCGGCAATATTGTTGCTAGAGGAACAAATATTGTACGTCACATCCCACTAGAACATGTGATGGTCAACACCATGTTGCATGCTGAGCCGCTCGTTCATCTCTAAATAGAAATGATATCTAGACAAAGTCGTGTCAAGTCGAAGGTTCCTCACTGCGATTTCTTTGACATGAATGTAATTGAGTTGGATTGGAGTTAAGAGTGGAGAGATTGGAGGTCTGGTCGTAATATTGAAGTAATCGCTTTTACCATATATAATGTTAATGAGTACACATGCACTAAAATAGTAATTTTTGTCTGTCTGTTTGTTCTGGGTAATGTCTAGAAATGGCTGGACCGTTCTTGACGGGACATTTATTTGTAGGTAGCTGATATAGTAAGGAGGTACTTAGGTTATTTGTCCACGCGGATAAAATCGCGCGTACAGCTAGTACTATTATAATATAAAGCTGAAGATTTTGTTTGTTTGTTTGATTGTTTAGACGCGCTAATCTCCGGAATAATTGTTTTGTGTTGGATAGTACATTTATTGAGGAAGGCCGTAGGATATAAAATATCACGCTCCGATCAATAGGCGCCGAGTAGAGCGGGTGAAACCGCGGGAGCAGCTAGTGAAGCAATATCGTAGTGAGAAAGTGCTGTTTAAGGAATAATCTTGTTTAGATGTCTATCTTATACTGACCTCCGAATAAGCGGCCAGTTCTAACCAGCGGATCATCCGGCTCCTTGCTCGGCAGGCCACCCGCCTCCGCGGCCAGTAGCGCCTTCTTCTCGTCGAGGGGCGCGGGCACTTCGCCAGCCGCACGCTTGCGCTCCAAAGCATCACGCTTCCGACGTCGGATCATCTCGCTCTTGGCGCGTAACTCTTCGAAGGGCAGAAGAGCCTGGCGCTCCCAGTCCCCGGGAGGTAGCACGATGGAGTCGTCCAAGAACTCGTTGATGGCAGACAACAGCTCGCGCCGGTCATCCGCTTTGTACGCGATGGAGTGGAACGCCGGGTTGGACATGAGTGTGGAAATGGAGCGACCCACCTCGTGATAGTCAAGGTCGGCGCCGCTAGGACCCAAAAGAATGAACATGAACCGCACCGGGACGGGCACCTCTGTAATGGAAGGCATGAGGATTCCTTGGGCGAGGCGCACGAACGCGATCGTGGGCTGCTCGAGGAAGCCCACAGCACCCACGAGTACGGTGGTGGCTTCGGCATCGCCGGGGATGCGCTTCAGTATGGAGTCGTGGTGTGGACGCCGCAACTCGTCCTGTGAGCCGGCCGCCGCGTCTACGCCCGCCAGGTACTCGACCTCGCGCAGCTCCAGGCCGCCCGCCGAAGACTTCTTGCGGACCTCGGCGCGCTCCAGCGGCAAAGCGTACGAGCTGCGCCGCCGCCGCGGGTCTGCCAAGTTCTGCGAACGTGCACATGTCTTTTACATTGTTTCACATTACGTGCTCTGCTAAATTTGTACCTAAGGACTGAAACTTGTACGCCATATTCAACCAAAATGCTTCAACCTACCATTTACGGTGAGTTCCCTAGACTAGTGTGGCCAACAAATTATTATTTTTATATTGTAGGCATTCGAATGTTTTGTGCATCTATTATACTACTACTACTACGAGACAACTAAGTACTGCAATATCAGAAAATATTAAGAAATGATCGCACTTTCATTCATAATTTTGGTGACCTATCCCTTTGCATTTTTTAAATATAATGTCTATGCCATTTGACCCAAACATATTATTATTAGTCTAAATATGAAGTTTAGTGTTCATCAGATTAAAACATGACAAGTTCCGTACTTTCAACCCCTATTCCATGGCGAATAGATGAGGTTTTCAAAATTCCTGAAACACGTAGATACCTACGTGTCAATATTTGTTTTACGTTAGGTACTAGCCGTAATTCAAATTTTTGTTTCATTATAGTGGGTGCCACAGAAAGTCAGAAATATATCTTTGTTATATCTATGGTGGGTGATGAGTGGGTGCTAAGGCTTTTTTTTCAAGCGGGAAAAATCATCGAATGACTGCTCCCGCCTGGGCGAGGCGGGAGGGAGTGTCAGACTCTTACTGACTAAAAACCACCCCGTTCCTTCTCCTGCGCGTCGAGCAGGAGCCCCGGTTACCCGTTAGGTTCTCCGCGACAGGGTGCTAAGGCCTACATAACGATGTTAATAATTTACTGATTTGCATTGCTCAGCTCCCAGATAGGTAGGTACCTACTTATGCAGTTGTTGAATGTGGTAAGGAATCAAATAATTATGAAAGAAAGCCTAATTAGAGAAAAAGAAGAGCCTGTACAGTTATGATATCTTTTCAAAAACACCCCTAAACGAGGTAGTCTTTACGCTCGGGGCTACACTCGGGGCCCGGGCCCAGGCCCCGTCCTCAGGACGCCCGAAGGACGACAGGACCGACAATTCTTACAACTACGACGGACACACGACCACTACAAGTGGTGGGCAACCAGTTGCCCATAACGCGTAGCGGGTTCGATTCCCATGCGGAGCAAATCTTTGTGTAATGGTCTACATGACGTACATATATCTGAACTTGTATGTTTGTAAATGCACCCACATTCTCTCTCTCTCTAACGGGGCTGACGTTTTTCTCTTAGGAAAAAAGCCCCATTTATAAAATAAAGATGTAATAAAATGCACCCACAATAAAGAAACTTTTCAAAAGGTTCTGAACAATTATGTAATATTTCTTGCGAGTCCAATTAAATACAACATATTATTAGATACACTATAGAGCAAACATTGTGGCCACACTAGGTACAAGAACTAGTTGAATACAAACGAGAGCATGTGTCTAGCTAGTAGTGGCACTGACTACGGGACTACTGGATGTGGAGCCGCAGTGCCTGGCATGCTTGCCCAGTGTGCACGGCTGGGACGTGGGAACACACGAGCATATTATTTACATAAGTGCCAATCCCGCTACCGCATATTCTGCAAGCTCCAGTCGTTAGGCAGCGATTCAAGAGAACACAGCTCAGTCTACGAGGAGTGTGTGTGTTGCAAGCAGGTGTCATGTACCTACTGTCAATAAATACTTCAATATTTGAAAATACGTTCGATCTATGTTGTGTAGGTATTGTATGTGTACCGCGATTATTGTTTATATAGGTACTGATGTCCGAGGTAAATGTGATCCACATTATCACGGCAGGCCAAATTGGTCAGTGCAGATGAAACGTTCTCGATAAAATAGTGGGTTTGGAACATCCGTGCCGAACTGCCGATAGTCATTGCATATATCCACAGATATATTAAAGAACTTAATTTTTTAATATTTCCGTGCATACGACTAATGATACTTTTTAGGCATGTTTATTTAATTACCTATTAGGTAAAGTGAATAGTAGGTGCAACTTGTAATTATAAATAACAATTTAGTAAAGTGACCACGGACAGGACTACGGCGCTGTGATAATACCAGTGCCGGTACTTGGAGTAACATACTTCACTGCCACATTGTTTGGTTGGCATCAAACACATGACTGCGAGTCACAGATAAGTGTAGTAGTGTGTGTAACGTGTTTCCGTGTGGTGTGTGCGACGGAGCTGCGACCGTGTCGTGTGTCGCTAGTTCGCTACATCACGGGTTCACCGCAGACGTCCCGCCGAATTGGCCCGAGTGAAATAGTCAGTGATAAAACACACATAAAACTAAGAATTATAATATTGTAGTCAATTTTTTTGTACGGGACCAGGCAATCGGCTTGTCATGATGATTATTATTATAATAGCAGAACACGCAATCAATATCAAACGGTGCATAGCTAACACTCAAGGATACATGATGGGCAACATGAGAGTACGACTATATGCTAGAAGTCTGGTCAGACTTGGCCTAAAGGTAATGGGTTGGAATGAGCGGAGGGGGCGCACTCTATGCCGTACGATGAGGTGTGTGCTGTGGCGGCGGCAGGCGGCCGTGGCGCTGCAGACGGAGCAGCGCGCGCGCGCCCCCGCCAGCGCGCCCTCGTCCAGCCACAGCGACTGCGGGCACGACACACGCACTCTTACGTCACCGCCGCACTGCCGACCTACTCGCTCTGACCTTCGATTAGGATTAACCTTGAATATTTTTACAAATATACCTACGGGTACATTCCAGCACATGCCAAACGTCGGATTATCGTAAGTAAAGTTCGATAAACGTGACTTGTTATCTGACACGACAGATTATCTCGTTTCCTTATCAATTTTGTATATTTCGTTTCGGTATTTGAAAACGATAAGATTTGCTATATTGTATAACCACAAAAACAATTATACTAAGAACAGAGCTCAAGCTCAAGGTCAGGTAGCGTAGCATCACCAGCATGCGCGCCCTCTGTGCCGGTAGCTCTCTGCTCTCTAAAACGTTTTGGAACACTTGAAACATCAACAAGTATTTTGATGGGGCACCGTTTCGTTAGGACACTGGCCGTGGCTCACCTGCAAGCTCGTGTATGAGGAGTGCTTTTTGCCGCTAATGGAGAACCGGAAGCGATCGTCGTGCACGTGCCGGTGCCGCAGTAGCAGCGAACGCATCACCACCGGCTTGTCATCCTCCTCGATCAGGCCTTCCGCTACCATGCTCTCCACGACCCTGCGAGCCGAGCGTGGACGTTAATCAGGCACTCACAGAGCGTGACGCCGCACGCTGTCCGTATTCCGGGCTGCACGCCGTCTGCCGCCACATACGCACCTGTACGCGACCCCGGGCAGGTCTTTCTCATCCAGGTCCAACAGCACGACGCCGGTCTCGAGGCAGCGCCGTAGGTTGAGCAGCGAGTGGAATGACAGGGAGGCCACGTGCGGCTTACCCCAACGGGCTGAGCCCTCTTCCACGTCCTCCTCATACTTGATCCAACGCGCTGTCTCCTTCCACTCAGCCTCGCCGTCCTCCGTAGCCAGCAGCTCATCCAGTTGCACGAAAACCTGCAGACACGCTCAGTCGTCATAAACAGTTGAAACATTAGGTATGTATGTGGGTACCACGATACATAATAAATCAATAAACAAAATGCTGGCTGTTGGTTCTCTAATTATTCGAAATTATTTGCGAAAACGTCAGAGACAGTGCTTACCGAATGCGGGCTGTGATCGTACATCTTTTTGTAGGCGGCATCTGATAATATATTTTGTACTTTATCACCACCATCCTTGCGGCCTACGTGAACTGTTGAACCCTGAGAGTGAAAAAATATTAGAATGGTTGCTTAGCACACAAAGAGGGTTTCGGTAAGACGGGTGAGGTACGGACCCGCGGCTGGATCTTGTGGCGGCGCAGCGCGCGCGGGTCGTCGCTGCGGTGCGCGTGCAGCTGCTCGGCGTCTGCCTCGGGCAGCGGCTCCTCGACCGGCTCAATGCTGACGCGCCGCTCACCACCACCGCGAGCGCCCTCTTGCAGGGAGTATTTGCGTGCTTTGTGCGGGTGCAGGTGCTTGCTACACAACAGAGGATATATTCATTAGCGATCTCAAGTGGCCGTCATGATAGATAATGTCAATATTGTTTGTATGAATGACAATATTGTCACAGGGTGAGTACCAGCTTGGTACCAGCAGTCTGGAGCTTAGATTAATCTTTATATTTTTTTTTTTTTTTATGGAATAGGAGGCAAACGAGCAGACGGATCACCTGATGGTAAGCGATCAGCACCGCCCATGGACACCCGCAACACCAGAAGAGTCACAGGTGCGTTGCCGGCCCTTTAAAAAGAAGTACGCTCTTTTCTTGTTACTTGTTACATACAAGTTACTCTTTATAAAATTAGTGTACATGTAGATATTATACACCCAATTTGCGTCATTTATGTTAAATATGTCCCATGTAATAGACCAACAACTGTTTCGTTTGTCGAGTAGTCGCACGTCTCCGGTTTCCGATTCCCCTTTCGAGCAAAATATTTGGAGAGTCCGGTTTTCCGGAAATTTCTCAGGGGTATAGAAAGTGGTAACAGAACTAAAAATATAATTATTATTCCAATACATAAGGTCATTCTTACAAAATCTTTTATTTATTTACCGATTTTATTTAATAATTCATGTAAAAAAACAGCACAGTACAAGGTTCTCGAGTACATAGGTGCTTTTTAAGGCTTTGACTGCAAATAGAAAACTGTTGAAGGTGAATCCTTCGCTAACGTCGGGCACCGGTGACCGCCACAGCGTTTAATGTGTTAAGTATTCCTCGGTGGGTCGGGGTGAAATACTGCCTCGATCTATTGAGCACACCAAGCTTCCTCGAGGCTAATTTGGCCTTATCCTCTAAATGACCGCAGAACTGGACGTCGCTCGAAATGTTGACACCAAGTATTCCAATACCGGCTGAGGCAGTTAGGGAGGTGCTTTGAAACTGAGGAGAGACGACCAACGGCAGTTTCTTAGCGGTAAACACGCAGACTTGTGTCTTAGTGGGGTTAAATTGGACCAAATTAAGTCCACCCCAATCAGAGATTCTCCCTAAAGAGGTCTCGATTTCAGACACGAGTCTGTTTCGGCTCTCTATGACTTATATATCTCTATACTTTCTGAAGTCATAAATGTGACCACTGAGAGCAGATCAGCCGACATATCGACATCAACTTCAACTGCGAAAACGTTACAATTTGTTTGTTTTGGTATAATTATACCTATTATAATCCAGTCCAGCTGTTATTTTCCTTTCTTGGTGGCAATTAAAACCTCCAAACATCTAGTTATAGCTCGCCCTTGATTACAACGCTGGTTTTCTCCTGTCTGTGACCTCTTGACCGAGTGGTTGCAAGTACGACTGTAGGGCAAGGGGTCTCGGCTTCGATTCCCGGATCGATCGATCGATTACATTGTACAGTTTGACATTGTAATGTTATGTGACATTGTCTTTTATTTGATACTTTCTATTTTTAGCCGACTTTAAAAAGAGGAGGTTATCAATTCGACTCTATGTACCTATGTAATATTTCCAAAACTGCCCAGGTCTATCAGCGTCTGAATAAATCTGACAAATTTCAAAAGTATGTATGTATGTATGTATGACTGTTGAGAATATGGTAATGTATAAATGAAAAACGGTGCATAGAATCGCTGTTCGTGTTGTACTGTACTGTTGTAATTATAATATTTTAGTAATTGCATTATAATAATAAATAAGGAAGTTAATAACTAAATGTTGTATTAATGAAGTCGGTTTATAAAATAAATATTGTAAAGAGACAACAGACGAGAACACTGTGTTGTGTTATTGTGTAGTTTATTAACCGACTTCAAAAAAAGGAGGAACTTCAACTACAGAAAAAAAGAAGAATATCCCTTGTCTTGTCTACGACTTTATTTTAAACAGTAACAAAAAAGAATACCTACCTATGACTTATTAAGAAAAATAAAACCGACTTCAAAATTGTACGCAACTATCTTACCTACGTGTGTTTAAAAAGAACATAAACGACGTAAAAATAAATAAGTACGACGACTTCTGTCTTAAATAAACTAACTTTGATATACCAATTAGGTATGTTTTCAGTTGGCGCCTGGCCAACAACACAAGAAAAAAAGCTAATTAATTACATAAGAAAAAGTGTAAAACACCATTACAGAGATCTATAACAAAGTAAATTACCTATAATTCGGGCAAGCACCGACTTCAAATAATCCATAGTTGGCATTTCAAAGTTACATAGTTGACGGTAAAGTTAGATGAACATGATGGTCAAAACTACTGACGGCAGCTAGTCTCGCAAATTGCCATGTTGCAGTCTCAACAATTGCTAAATCAAATGGCAAGGAAATCTTCAACAAAATAAAGTAAAGTACCTACACTTTAGCTAGTGTTTGCAAAGTTGTGGAACATTTAGTTGAGACGAGACGATGTCCACGTTTACGACCTTGCTAGGTCGATGATGTAAATAAGTAAAGCTATTGTGCTTCAATAAATAGGTAGGAACTAATTAAGCAACAATAAGTGTTTGTGAATATCACGTAAGCAGCGACAAAAGACAAAAATGCCCATAAATTATAGATATTAAGCAAATGGCGCGACCCTGAACTAATTGCTGCGTGCTGCGAGGGCTATCCATCGCTGCCGCGCTCATTCGCCACGTTCAGTCATTGGGTAGTTGTACCTGGAATGTATTCCAGGAGTTTTGGAAATTGGCACTTTTGTACATTTTGATGAGCTCGATGCTGATTCCATTTGCACCCTCATACGTGCGCCACTCGGCCCGCTACCTTGGAAAAATGGTGGTCAAAATAGTTTCTTTGCAATATCTTTTTTCCTGAGCATTTTATTTTTTTTATTTATTTTTATTTTAAGTATTTTATTTAGGAAACAAACAGTCACATAAAAACAAAACTTTTATAAGAAAACAATAGGTTCAAAAAGACTTCGAGTTCCATACAATTTTTAAGTGTAGCATGAAAGTAACCTACCCACAATTTATTTTAAACAGAATACACAAGCACATGCAGTCAAACATAGGTTACATTATTTTAAGAGAAGGTTGCGCAATTTAATTTTATATGATGCTAAACTGTGGTTAAATACATCTATTTCGTTAAATTTACAATTATAAGTGTCTATGCTACGTCTGAAGAAGCTATTACTGGTGTAAACCGTTTTATAGAAAGGAACTGAAAAACTTAGAAGAAAAACGTTGACTACAAAATTAAACTACTCACAATTTTCTACTATTTATGTCTACGCAGCTTTTTGTAATATTAGTAGTTCTGGCGCCAAAGCACAGCAAAGTACTTTGGGAAAAAAATATTTTCACACCACATGAGAATAGGGCAAGCGGCGGATTTACGATTTACAATGATTGGTGATTTGTTGGCGGCCCGTGCGCTTGTGCTATAAAAAGTACAAATTATACACCGGGAACATGTAGTTGTCTTCCCGCGCCAACTCAGTACTTGAAAATACTCCGTACGGTGTGGCAACACCGTACGGAGTATTTTCAAGTACTTTTCAGACAGTTAATGTACGGAAACTAGTATCAATACCTCCTTGAACATAATCCTAAGTTTAGCGGCTAATCTTCATGTTCACACTCACTTTTAGCTGTAACATATACCTACACAGATCCGCTATTGTCAACAGATGGCGCCAGGTGCAGTTCGCATAGCGCTACGGAACGCTTTTTTAATCATGGACCAATGTACGTTACATAGCCTAGTATAGTTAGCGAAATATTCTCGTTATACTAGGATATTATTATTTGTACTGGGATATTACATTTATTAATATCCGTATAGGAAATTCGTGTAGAGTATAGATCCTATTGGTTCCAAATACAAACGATATTTTCATTGATTTCTTTGTCCCATTAGCCGCAATAACTACTGAGTATTTTTGAGTATCATTAACTTCTGAGCTTCCCTTAATCTAACTTTTTAAGGGGGGCAAAATCATCAATTGCCTTCTCCCGCCCTGGTGAGGCGAGAGAGAATGTCAGACGCTTACGGACTAAAACCACCCCGTTCCTACTCCTGTACTTCGAGCCAGAGCCGCGGTAACCTGCTACGTGTCCTGCGGCTCAGTATTGGCATCAGTCCTAATGGGCCTCTCTTGGGTCTGATGGCTTTTTGAGGCGCGCGCAGAACGCGACGCGCCGTACGCTCGGGTCCTGTTCAGGTCGGGTGGCGAGCTACCGATGCTCGCCGACGGCAGGCCCGTGCTTACGGTGGCCGGAGAATGTCGCGCGGTCCCCGACGCCCGGAGAGTCCTTCGCGTCGGTTGGGTTGTGAGGAGGTTGTGGATCTCTGCCTCACGCACCCGTCTCCATCTTAGCTAGCATGACTGCTTTGCAAAAGGAGAAGACGGCAACCCAGTCCTCTTCGGTCCGCTTCATGGCCCCAACTAGGGCCGGGCGCGAGAGGTCGCCATCGCCGATCACATCCCTGACAACACGGCGGTGCTCAGCCCATGCAGGGCATGCTGCCACCATTTGCTCCACCACGTGCTCCGGGTGGTCCTCACAGTGATGCCATCCGGGCGTTTCCCTCGCTCTATCAGACATAGGTACCTCCCGAAACTACCATGTCCGGTAGGCATCTGTGTCAGGCGTTAGGTGAGGATGCCGTAGCGTCTCTCAAGCCACTGTTCAAAGCACAGATATATTAAATAAGTATATACTTTTTTAATATTTCTGTGGTTCAAAGGGACTTACCGCTGCAATGGCAGTGAGCCCAGCCATAGGTTGCGACAGTCGTTGCTGCCATACCGCCATGAAATCGCACCGGAGTTCATCCGCCGCGCATTAATCTGGAGCGGCAGCGGAGTTTCGCGCCGGCAACGTGCTTCCGCGCGGAAACAAAACAGATCCGCAGATCATTCGGATAGTCTTAATCTAACTCAGCTTCCTTAGTTTGAGTGGGTGTTGCAGGGTGTTACAGTAATTGATGTGGCTACATAGAAATGTACAGTAGCACACACCATCAGACACAATAGGCTACCACATAGTTGGACA